ATATACAGTAAAGTGACAAGGACGTGTCTATTTTATATACATGGACGATTCCAAATAGATACTTACATTTTATAAATAAAAATTTAATACAATATCCAATTTTTTTCTAAATTTTTGACATGTTTATTTATAAATTACAAATATGATAATTTTCAAATTTAGCAATTTTTTTCTATTAAATTTATTAATAAATATATCTAATATTTTTTTAATAAATTAAATAATATTGTTTACATATTTTCATACTTTATAATTCAGAAGATCTTTTCAAGTATATTTTCATATTATTTCATTGTGGTATAAAAATTATAAATATATGTTAGATATTTTTGGACTTACATATATACTATAATAATTTATTTAATGAAAATAATTATATTAAAAGCATATTTTTTCTAAACAGATGTTACTCGTATAAGGGTGCAATATGCATGAACAGGAATAATTTTATGATCTTTATGGTGACTATTCATTAAGTTTACACAGTAGAACGTGTTACTCTGCGGAAAGAGTAGATAAGCTTGTGTAATCGTTAGCGATAGTGGCCTCTGAAATGACTTAATATAAGCAGTGCTCTTCCTTTATACAAAATTTTTATACTAAATATATAATCTTTTTTTTTGTATAATTTAATTTTGTTATGAAAAATAAATAATTTTTTATAAAATATTTTTTATATGATTGATAATTATCAATCTTTTAAATATTATTTAAAATCAATGAAGATATTCGATGTTTGAAAATTTCTATCTATTTGTTTCAAATAAGAAGTTACATGATCTTAGAATATATAATATATACTTTTTCGCTATTTATTATATAAACTACTGGTGGTCTTTCGTAATGTACTGCAAGTAGGGCATAAGGATGACCATTACGTAATCCTCATGAAAGCGAAGTTATTTGCAGATTATATCGTTTATTTTGACGCCGGTTTCAGATCGTCAAATATAACGAAACATGCCATATTTCTTGTTTTCAATCAACCTTATCTTTAATTATTTATTTTATAATTTTGTTATTTTATTAGAGAATTAAAATAAATATATAATTGACGTGTAATAAAAATAAATATATAATTGAAATAAATATATAAATAAATAAATATAATTGACGTGTAATAAATTTGATAATTTAATTTTATCAAGTTACAAGTTACAATAAAATAGTTGAAAAATTATATTTTTGTTAAAGTATAAGAAATTACAGATCCTAGATGGAATAGCATAACATTTTTTTCTTTTATTTTGCATTCTAAAAATGTCGCAATAATTGTACTAATAAGTTTTTTCTAAAAAAAAATCCATGCATTTAAAATAATTACTTTCATAATAATATATTTAAAGAGCATAAATCATTCACAGTAGTGAATAAGTGGAACAGAAATAAAAAGTAATAAAAAGTTAAGGTGGAGGCCGAAATTGCTTTTCACTTTCAGAGACATGAGAGGCGCCATTGCTTTCTGTGATGGACCAATTATATTACGTAAATTAATTAAATTATTTTTAAAAATTTTCATACACTTTTGTATTTTTATATTTTTGTTTTCTTTTTTATTACTTATATATTTCGATTTTATAAAATATTTTAATGATATTTTCTACAATATCATTATAAATTTTTCTTTTTAAATATTTATATCACTTTAATTATTATCTAAAAATTAAAATATGTCAAAATATTCTGATACTTTATTTTATTTCCAATGAAATATTTTAATTCCAATTCTTTGATATTTTTTAAATTTTCTTATTCTTAAAATATTTAAATATTTTTTGTTTCTAATATAATGTTTTAATTTTTTTTCTTTCGATATTTTTTCCATTTTTCTTATTTTCAAGATATCTTAAAAGTTTTTATTTCCAATTTAATTATTTAATTTCTCAATTTTAATTTTTTCTAATTTTTTATTATCAAAATAATCTAATATCTTTTTTTCCAATAAAATTTTTTTTATTTTTCATTCTGGCGTTGAAAAAACGATTTTTTTTCTTATTAAATTCTTTCTTATTAATTCTTTTTTCTTATTAAATTCTTATTGATTTGTTTAAAAAAAATAAATATTGCTTCGTCAGTAAAAAGCGCGAAATTGAATTTAATCATAGTGTATTGATACAAGGGAAATCTTGAATAATTGTGATATAGTAAAAGTGGTAAAAGTAGAATTTTTTTTCTTTTTTTCTTTCTTTCGTTCTTTCTTCCTTTCCCTTGACATGGCATGTATAAACGATATTTGTTTAATGTTTACGCCGGATGAGAATAATTTACGGGGCAACGGTGCACGTCTGCCAAGGAAATGTGTTTCCATGTTTTTAGTCTCCGTGAGAATGTTTTTTCTTCAATGAACAGATAAACCCTTTTATGACAATCTTTTCCGGGCACGTGTTGACACTAATTACTGATTAAAATGTGCAATTATTTTCACGAATAATTTAATTTAACATTGTATATTTGATAATTGATTAATTAATTTAACATTGTATATTTGATTTCCGATTTCGTGGAAATTCTTTCATGGAAACTCAGGATTATATGAATTTTATATAATTATAGTTTAAATATTTTGAATAATATTAAATTGAGAATTTTATTTATTTATTTATTTTATTTATTAACTTTGTATTATTGTATCATTATATTGCTATAAGAAATATATCATCTAACCTTCGTTTCTGCACTTTATATATTAGAAGGGTTGTAAAATTTCAATTTGAACGACTGGAATGAATGAATCAAGATTTATATACGAATCGTTATATATGAGAAAATACTGGTTGTCAAATTTATCATACTAAATCATATCAAATCGTACACTATAAATTATACTCATTTGTTTTTATAGAAAAAAACTATTCTTTTAATATCCAAAATGCATATTCAAAGAATTCTAAAATTTTAAAAATTTCAAAAAAAAATATTATACATTTAGAGTTCTGAGTTTAGAAGAGTTTTAAGCTTAGAAGATTGGTTGATTTAAAAATCTCAATCCATTTTTAACAAAAAATCATCCTACAACGAATAAAATGCAAATATTTTTTACACTATATATTTTTTCCACTATATAAGTACATAATACACGATTTACATAATTTATAGTAACGACCATAAAAGTATTATAGCTAATCCATTTATATTTCTTTTGTGCACGTGTGGAGACATCGGATATCTCGCGTCCTCGAACACAGCCTATTAAAATAATTAATTTATGGAAAGTGCAGCTATTGGGAGAGACGACGAGAAAACGTGGGACGAAAAAAGCGTTTGTGAATTGCACGCGTAGGCCGTGTTCTCGAGTGCGTGCACGCGTCAGGAATCGCGTTGACACGGTGACCCTCGATCAAGCTGTCTCTTTCGAGGAGCATCTCATTAGCTGTAGCTGCAGGGATTCTTGATAAAGAGTTTATGGAACTGTAGATATGGAACTGTAGATACTTTTTTGTATTAGTTCTTCCTAGAATCTTCAACATTTAAATTTTTATGTAAAAAGAAAAAAATCTTAGATACCTTAGATTCTTAGAACATCTCCAACAAAATTTTGTTACCTCCATTACGTTTCCATTTTTGTATTCAAAAAACGATCTTACGAGTCATAAACTTTATACAATCGTTCACCAGCGATTCTCTTGGCATTTCCACCCATAATTCAAGGTCAACTATGCTCTTTATTCAAAAAGAACGGTAGGATCCCATCTAGATTAACGAGGCATATTTCAATGCATCTCGTTTAACTGTAAAAACTCGGCAAGATAGTACTTGCATATAAGAATTACATGTTTAACAATGTAGCGCTGTTATTAACGTAGAAAAACGTTAGACACCAATCTTACCAGCTATATACATACCCGTGTACCACGATTATTTTACGAACGAAGCGATTTCGTACGCTTTCTCCGACCACGATCAACAACGATGGGAATAAACCGTGGATAATACGGAGAGCGGAAGATACTTTGCATAATGCATGAATAGAGAGAGAGAGAGAGAGAGAGAGAGAAGAGAAGGGAATCTTGGTATCTAACAATCAGAATCACTTGCCAGCCCTCGTCTAATAACTATTTCTATCGCAAGAGATATATCCTCATTGTCCATCGTGCAAGTTGAAAAAACAGCCACTTTTCACCGTCATTGTTCGAACACCACGCTTTTTAGATACTTCTTTTCATTCAACTTTCCTCGATTTCTCGGTCTTCTTAAGTCTTCTGAAGAATATTTGGTCTTTCGTTTCTTTAACTCGGTTTTATACTCGGCTCTTTGAAATTGGACGTTAAATTTTTCAATGTGTTTGGGATAATAGCGTTTACTTACTGGGTAAATTCATTATTTTAGTAGTAGAATAGGAAGCGAATGGCTCGGTTAAACTAGTCGTAAGATTTGTCTAAGCTCGAGGCCAAAAACTGGTGCCGGTAAACGGCCTCTGCAGAATGCAGAGTCGCGTTTCTTCATTTGACGAAGCGGCCTCCTCCCTTCCGAGAGCATGGGCTCAGATTAGGCATCTGCACGTCCGGCTCGCGGATATATTTACCGTTCAAATCATTCTACACAGGCTGACCTGACCACAGAACACCCGCTTTGAATCGTTCTCGTTGAATTATTCTTGCGATTTATCGGCACTATTCCATTCATTCTAATTATTCTTGGGATTTATCGATACTGTGACCTTCCGTGAAATTATTCTCACGATTTGTTAATGGCAGAAATTACTTTGGAGAAAATTATATTATAGGTTATAGGTTATACATTATTATGATATATTACATTATTCTTTTTAAGATTATTCTCATTATTCTTTTCTTGTCAGTCAATTTGTTAATTTCTTTGAATTACCGTTCTCTGAACTATTTTCTTAGCGTTCTTGGATATTTTGTGTAGATTCGTGGAGAATTGTTTTAGATATTATCTGTGAACAATTTTTTTTTAAATATAATACAGAATTAATTTGTACAGTTTATTATTTATTATTAAATTAGATATGAAAGAAATTCCTGAGAAATTTTTTTGTAAATCGAAATTAGATCTATTGAGAAGTATCACATTCATTCTTTGAGATATTTAATAAAAAAGTTGGAAAAAACGTATCTTTAAGTTGGTCATGATCAGACAGGGTTTCTTAACGACGCTTTAAAGGCAGTCCGCAAATAACCCAGGGGAGATACGAGTTTGGAAGACCGTGCCAAAAATTCAGTTTTTTTAACTGCAATATGTGGGGATTCAGCATTTTTGTCATGGATTAATTAGAATTGCTTTCTCTAATAATATCTCAAATAAAGAATTAAATAAAAAAATAATTTATGCGTATTTTTTCCAAAAAATGAATAAAATATGCAAAAAAATTTTATTTACTTACTTTTTGAATACAAATTAAATTTGTATAATTACATACTTATCAACTCTTCTTGAGATATTTTATTTTCGTTGAAACCTTGAAATTTTATTGATGAAGCGTTAGGAAACATAATGTTTTATATTTATATTCAGTTATTAATATTCTTCGACCCTTTAGAAAATCTTTACTCACGCGCTCTAATTAAGAATATTTTTTTTTTTGAAGATACAAGTGCACTACATTTTTATACTAGATAAAAAATAGGATTTATCATAAATTTTGTCGTTAATGTGACAGTTAATTAAAAAATATTTTTCCTTTTAAAAAATTAGAAAAATTAATAAAGACAAAATTTTTATTTTAAAAGTTCATATATTCTTTAACGTAATTTCATATTTCAAATATTTTGTGTCAAATTTTTCAAACAAATGGTAAATATTTTGCATGAAAAATGTTAGTGAAAATGTGTTCCAGTCGATCCCGTATATTCCTGTCTACTATTAACCAACTGCTTTGAAACCTTTTGCTTTTAACGCTTCCAGATTTACGTGTTGGTTAGTATATAAATCAGTCTGAAATGAATTTCTCCCCTTTGAATCGTTGAAACAAGACAATTCTTCTTCTCGGTCAATTTTATAAACTCGTTATTTATCTCATTAGATTTTTCGTAATACATAAACTAAAAAGAATTAAGTTGATAAAGAATTATTAAAAGTTTATTAAATTTTAAAAATGAAAATTAATTTGAAAAAAAATTGGAATTTAATAACCTTGCTAATTCGTTAGAATTTCACTTTGTAGAATAATTGTCACTATATCTATATTTTTTAGAAAAATTATTTCTTATTTTTGCATAACAAAAAGTAATATTAGATATTTAACACTATCTATTTTTATGTCACACTTATTTTATATTACTATTTGATATTGAAGAAAATTGAGAATAGAAATTAGCATAACTGAAGTTGGTGACATCATGGAAGGATGAGGATATATCGAATAAAGTCGATATATATATCCTAGGGATTTTTAGCGTATAAATTCAATTGAGAAACGCCATAGGAAGCAAGTTCAAATAGTGAATCGTTGAATACAAAAGCTATTGCTATTAGTTTATTATATATTATATATATAGTTAATCTTTAAAAATAGTGCATAAATTCATTTAGAAATTATTTTAATCAAATGCATAATGTTTCGAAAGGACTATACATAGTGATAAATTTTATTTGAAAATGGCATTTCATATATACTAACCTAATATTGTTATCAAGAATATTGCACTGTAGGCGGGTTACATTGACCCATGGTGTACATAATGTGTAAATACGATGAAAACGGGCAGGGTTAACGCGAGTAGATTTATCTGGCTCGTACACACGTGGCCCTCCACACGCTCGCCCTGTGCAAACCCCACAAAGATCGTTTCCCTGGGGGGGCGCCCCACCATGTGGCTGTCATTGAGTCATCGAACGTGTGGAACAGAAATATTAACGCGGGTCTGCAACTGCTTTCGATTCGCACGATCGACATTAACGGCCTAGACTACGCGACGCGTACAATAAACGTGTGCAGTGTGTGTAATCAGAAAAGTAATGTGAAAAAAAAAGTGTGTGTAAATTGTGTATAGTTATTGCATGAGAAAAATATATGCAAAGATATAAAAGATATGAAATATAGTGAAATGGTATGTGTGATTCGAAACAATCAAAATGATGCGTCACAAAACATGGTATGATTAAGAATGATAATTTTATATAAAATTGAGAAATAGATACGATGTAATATACAATTCATATATATATTGAATGCGAAAAATATTAAATTGCCTATAAGTCACTTCACGAAAGAAATAGAAAGATCAAGATATGGCGTCATTTATTACGTGTCTCAGCTGGTGCATTGTCTAAAATCGATTAAATCCATCGTGATTGCGACGTTATCGATTGTAGGAAATAAAATTGTCGTATCCAGATTTCAATCGTTAGTTAGCCCTTCTAATACGAGGGAAGTCAAATTGCTAATAATAGACGTTCAGTGTCATAGGTCAGGTACCTAGAAGTAACTCGACTTGAAGTAAAGACGCGATGATAAACTGAATTTAGGATTCCACTTGTCGGAACATAAAAGAAACTAGTCTCGGAGGTTGTTTGAATATTTATATAGTTATTATTTATTTAGTGTTATTTTAGTGTATATACGATAAATTACCAATATAGAAAAGATTTCATATCTAACCTTTTGATTAGCAGATTAAATTTATATGTGGTTTGTATATTTATGTCAGATTTTCAAGTGAGTATATAAATTTTCATTTAAATTATCAAATTTTCAGTTAATACGCGATGCAGGGATTACAAAAAGAAGCGTGATAGTTATTTCTAGCACCAAACGTTCACCTTTGACGCGTCGACTCGGCCGGAATTTTGTTCGTTTTCTGCAGGGCCATCTGCGACCTCGCCATAATATTTGCACGCCAATGCACGACCTAGCCGGAATGCAAAGAACGCGAGGGACCGATTCGCTTTCGTAGCGTCATCGCAGCTGCGTTTAACCATTGAAATTATGTATATCTAACGTGCATTAAAATCTGTCTTTTCATAGTTATTTTCTTCAAATTTTCAAAACGCATTCAATCATTCTGTTTATTCATGCCTGAAATTTTGATTTCCAAATTTTTTATTCTTCAATTTTAAATTTTAAATTTAAGATACAAACTAGTCTAAACTGCATCGTCAGATAGTTTGCATTGTACTTCCGTTATAGTTCTTTTTCGCGAACTTACCAAGCATACAAAATAAATTCTTCTAACTTATCTCTGGTAACAAGAATCGTCTTTTCTGGTCACGTAACCAATTACTACTATCCACTCATGATCTAACACCGTTAATGCATCCATCACTATTATCTAATCTACTGCATACAAATCAAATTACCACACACCCAGTAGCTAAAACCTATAGTTCAATTATAGAATTTGAAAAAAAAATTTTTTTATTGTTTTAAAAAGAACATTTCCTCGAATCGAAATAGCACCAATAATGGTTCCGTTGCAATATACAATATATAACAATAGCGCGCGCCATATGTTCCGTTGTTCCATTAAGAGAACTTCCAAAAGCTTCTTGAGACTATTTCGAGTGGTCACGAGCTTAATGTAAACTCGCTAAAAGCCGCTCAACCAAGACAACTTTTACGATGAAACTCCGCCCTTATCGATCATCTCGTTAAATAATGGTCTATTTTAACTTTTAATTTCTCCTTGGTTGTTATTGACCAATCAGAATTGGAATTATCGAGTCGCATTCCTCTGGATGTTCTACGACCTGCAACTGTGTTTCGATCGTTCATTACACACATCGTTTGATTCGCGTGGTTGCCTTTTTTGGTCACGTCTTGGACGTAGTCCGAACTTTCGTCGGCAGAGTGATGTAACTATCTCCCATCATCGTGAAGATAGTTGACTCACTGGTCATTTTGTTTTTCTTCGCCTTGAAGGAGAATCGATATTGTTTATCGCCCGAAATGTTTGCGCGCGAAAGTGATGGCATAGTGTAATCGTAAATTAATGGAGTTTGATATTTCGATTATTCTTTTGAGAATCGATTCATGGGTATTCATAAAATAAAAGTTAAAGAATTAGAAAAATTTTAATATTATAATGCAGCATTGAAATAGAGGTTAGATTATAGAGGTTAGGTAATAGAATTGAAAAATATGTATAAATATATTCGTTATGATTCATAAGTAATGTTCAATAATCTTGATCAATCCTTGGCATCAGTCTGTTCTGACGTCATTTGTTAAAAGGTTCAGTAAACTTTTGTTATTGAATATGTGTTATGATTCTAAAATTAGTATACATTTTATTATCGTTGTAGATGTCGAAACGAATAATACATGCCAATGAAGTGCACAATAGAGACATTCCTCTATATTTCTTCACTAAAATACAGATTGTCAACCAGTTGCACAAACCAGGTGTTTGACCCTCCGTAAAAGCCAGTGATTCAACTTTTATTGTTAGCGAGACTCGTAAATCATTCTTTGCAGGGGTCTCCCTCTTTCTCTGTTATTGCTCCAACAGTCTTCATCTTACCATTCGGAATTCTTACCGAAACTTTTCAATCTTTCTCCACTGTAATTCATAATCGGAAATATCTTCGCGTAGAATTCGACACGGACAAAAGTTGGATTCGATCCAAGCAACAACAAGTAGAATCTGAATTAATTCGTAAAATCTTCGCAACCACGCTCTCTAGTTTATTTCTAAATATATTATGAGTGAAATATCAATATCTCGCTCTCTCTGGTGATTCAACTCTCATAAATGTAAACCTAAATACAATTCTGACGCGAGTCAACCTGGGTGACTTAAGAAAGCAGAGAAGTCAGTACTTACGACGACCATCGAACGAACGAACGAATTGATATCGAGTTCTTCTTCTCTGTTATTGTTATTTAATCGGCATCGATGTTGCTATCATTAGCCGGATATCTACAGCTCAAGGTAAGATCCAAATTATATTAAAAACACACGATATTTTTAGACGATCATCAAGTACTAATCGTGATTCGAAAAGCTAAGCAAAGGTCGTTGGCTTTTTTTAATTCTTCATGTAATTTCAATGTAATTAATTTGGAATAAGCAGAAGCGATTTATCACGAATGTTAAATTCATGGTATATGTATACATATGTGTATACATATAATTATAACGATCTTCTGGGAACGAGAACGTTCTGAATTGAAAAACCGTTGGAATGTTATCTTCCACGATTTATGATTGTTTGTATTCAGTATCGCGATATAATAAATTCTCATGGAGGAAATCCATGTTCTCGAAAGCTCAATAGTTATTAACAATAGTTATATAATTAATTTTTTTTCGCGAGATAATAATATGATTGTACAACTTCAATCTACTTAAAATTCATAAGTATTTAAGCGCAATTTAAAAAAAAAAAGGAAAAGAGAATTCTTTGTGCTTTATTGATATAATTTTTTAACGCGTGACTTAACGTGTGATAATTTTATAGATAATCCATCAAACTGAAATTCTTTGTTTCGTTTCGAATCAAATAGCCGGTAATTACGCTACTTTCAAACTATTTTTAAGTAATTGAAAATAGAAACATTCGTGGTATGAATCATAACGAAATAATTTTACCTTGCTCGTTAAAATGACGGAACACTTTCACGCATAGCGATGCAAATTTTACGTAATGCAAAAAAATCTAAATTATTTATATCTAATTTATTTTTAATATTTCTACAGAAATAGTTGTATGTGTAGAAAATTTTTTCTTAACCATTTAGAAATCCAAACGGAATAATTTGGATCACGCAAGTAAAATTAAATAAAATATTTCGTGATGATTTTTTTTTCTGAAATTTTTTTTATCTTTATTTTAATCTATATTCAAATATTGAAAATTATTTTATATTATTCCGTCAAATTTTAGAAAAATTTGTCGAGTTCTTAATAATCCTGTTTTTAAGTGATCTTTAAGTGATCTTTTTTTAGAAAGTTTAGGATTCTAAGAATTAAACTTTTGATAAAATAACGGAAGAAGTTCACCGTTTCGATCGATCAAGCGTTCGAACGTGAAGCAAGCTTCACGCAAGAAATAATTTTTTTTTTTCTTGTCGAAGAAACAAAGGGAGCGAACGATCATTAAACGGGATGATTGACGATCATAGAGGCTGAAACGGAACGAAAATGGATCACGCAACAGGGTTAGCCATCGTCTTTTTCGCGTTACGCACTGTACTACCTTATTTGGTTTCGTCTTCATGCGAGTTGCGGCACGAAATTGCATAAAAGGCTTCCTGCACGATCTTTCTGTCTGCTTATGCTACATAATGCAATCCGTTTAACTCGTATCACAGCTTTAAATCCTTTATTATTATATACATCTTTTCACCCGAGTGAAATTGAAACATATATGAAAACAAAAAGTCAAAATTATGAATAATCGGCAATTTAAAACGTTTGAGCGAATATAACAAATATTTTTTAATTCTTTTCCTTTTATTTATTTTTTTTTTCTATATTTGTAATAATAACCAGAGAAAAAAGAATCGAAAAGATTTAATCCTCCACCGGATTTTTAACGTTGCAAAATTGTTGTTATTTCATTTCTTAATTCTCGAGGCAAACGATGGAAAAAAAAGAGGCTCCTTTGAGAGTTCAACGAGGGACATTGAAGCGAGAGCGTCAACGAGAAGGTGCAAAAGTCCGTGGAAAACGCGCGCTTCCAGTCGGTTGATTCGAACCGTTTGCAAGCTGAAACGCGTTTCAGTTCGTTTTTTTTCTTCTCCTTTTTCTCTTTCTCCTTCTTCTCCTTCTTCTTCTTCTTCTTCTTCTTCTTCTTGTTTTTCTTCTTCGGTGTGCACCAACTCGTGTTCGCTTCTGGGTTAAACGCTGATCTAAATACGAAACGTGAAACTGCAATACTCTTGCGACCGTGGGGTCTGAACAACTCGACGATCGTGCGAGACGTATATTCATCTACTGGGCGATCCGATAGAAACGAAACAATCTTAATCGTCTCCCCTTTGAAAGGAATTTTTCCCGATTTTTTGTTCGAGTTTTAATTGGATATAAATTAATTAGGGCACGCTTCTTAAAATTTGTACATGTGTGAAAAACCAGACGTAATAAAGTTGTAGTAAGTGATTCGTTACGTATAGGGTGATACGTAAGTTTGATAAATTGAGTGTATTAATTGAAAGAAACATTTGGTGGATTTTTCTTTAATGAAGATCAACCTTGACATTTTAATAAGATGTACACAATTCGGTAAAGTAATTTATTTGTTCGATATTATTTGGATACGTTTCATCTGCATTGCAGGTAATTTGTTATCATCTGATAAAGAGCTGTTATCGTTAATATCTCGATGTTACATGCATTAGAGCTATCATTTATTAAATATGGCTATACTTTTTTTATTTTAAAAACACATTTTAAAATCCATTATTACATTTGATTGGTACCATATATATTGACGATGTTATCCGTTATCGAAATTCTATTATATATATTTCGTTGGAAAAATTGATTCGAGAAACGTCTTCTTCCGTGAAATCACATTTGACCCTTATATGGAACGTAAGAAAGAGTGTTCGAACAGTGATTTCAATTGTATCATATGACTCGTTACGCTAATGGAATTTCCATTAGAATAAAGTATATCGCGGATAGCCAATATTTATACTGTTCATCGTGAATCATCACCCGGTATATAGCGTAAGCATTGTCTGCCCGAAGAAGTGCACGTGTCCTCATTAACGGGCGTACGTTTCACCGAGTTAGGGTAGAATTTTAGCGAGCGTTCAACACGCCCTATTCATCTCAC